AGTGGATGTTGATGTAATTCCGAGGAACGAATCCTTCCATGCCGTGGATTTCTGCTCTGAACCAGTCGTCGTTAGTGCCTAAAATCTACAGAGGAGCATGTGATGGTCAAACTCAAAGTCAGTTGTGTGTGTGGACGTGTGATACACTGTTGTAATGTAGGTCATACACACCTTGATAATATCTCCCTTCCTGAAGCTCAGCTCATCCTCTGCTGTGGCTGAGAAGTCGTATTTCCCAGTCGCCTCCATGATGGAGACAATTCAGAAACTAGAAGGAGAAACAAACCACCTGTCAATCAAACATCACCTAGCAGACCACCTGTCAATCAAACATCACCTAGCAGACCACCTGTCAATCAAACACCATCCAGCAGACCACCTGTCAATCAAACACAATCCAGCAGACCACCTGTCAATCAAACAACGTCCAGCAGACCACCTGTCAATCAAACATCACCCAGCAAACCACCTGTCAATCAAACATCACCTAGCAGACCACCTGCCAATCAAACATTACCCAGCAAACCACCTGTCAATCAAACACCATCCAGCAGACCACCTGTCAATCAAACATCACCCAGCAAACCACCTGTCAATCAAACACCATCCAGCAAACCACCTGTCAATCAAACACCATCCAGCAGACCACCTGTCAATCAAACAACGTCCAGCAGACCACCTGTCAATCAAACATCACCTAGCAGACCACCTGTCAATCAAACATCACCCAGCAAACCACCTGTCAATCAAACACCATCCAGCAGACCACCTGTCAATCAAACATCACCTAGCAGACCACCTGTCAATCAAACATCACCCAGCAAACCACCTGTCAATCAAACACCATCCAGCAGACCACCTGTCAATCAAACATCACCTAGCAGACCACCTGTCAATCAAACATCACCCAGCAAACCACCTGTCAATCAAACACCATCCAGCAGACCACATGACAATCAAACAACATCCAGCAAACCACCTGTCAATCAAACACCATCCAGCAGACCACCTGTCAATCAAATATCACCCAGCAAACCACCTGTCAATCAAACACCATCCAGCAAACCACCTGTCAATCAAACACCATCCAGCAAACCACCTGTCAATCAAACACCATCCAGCAAACCACCTGTCAATCAAACAACATCCAGCAAACCACCTGTCAATCAAACAACATCCAGCAAACCACCTGTCAATCAAACACTGGTCGTCACACCGTGAGCCAGAGTAAAAACTCACACTACAGATTGAACCACATGAAGGAGAAAGTTCAGGACCTGACAGGCAGAATTTTCATAATTTAAAGGAGCTGTATGTAAGATTGTGGCCAAAACTAGTACTGCAATCACTGTTAAATTACTGTAGAGTGGTGTATCCCTTCCCCCTCCTCCCTGACTCGAGGTTGCCAGATCGGCAGCAGGATCCAGCAGGAACGTGACAAGCTGCAGCTGTGGTAACTAGAGCAGACCTGGCAACCCGGATGCCGCAACACTACTGACTTCGTGATTGGTAGATAGGTGGAGGGTGGAGCATCAGACCAAAACACAACATGACAACATCAATATCAGTTGAGGGCTGCAACTGCACTTTTTAAATGACAATATCCTGGCCAGACTACTGTTGTCAGTGATATAAGTATTTGAAATGTACATGATTTCTTAATGTCTAGTGACATTTCAGGGCCATTTTATGATTAATTGAAATACATTTCTTACATACAGCTCCTTTAATGAATTATCGCTTTAGATCCTCAGCTAACAAATATATGTTTTTCTAATGTAATGGGATTTCAAACCAGCTCATCATAACTGATGCTTTTCATGTGATTTGTTTTGCTTGGCTTTATGATCGGATTCCAATCAGATATGCACAAAATCGTATTTGGCATGACAGACTTATATCGATCACCTACCATGTTTACCCTAGTGAAAAAATATACTTTATTTTATTGTAAATATATTCCTTTTTTCAATAGTACATTGCAAATATAGCCTACTAACAAATTTCTTTACTATCTTTAAATATATTAAAAGTATATAAGCATCATGCTTTTACCTATTTTCACAATACAACTTTTAACACACTTTAAAATAATTGTACTTTAGTATAATTTTAACTAATGAACCTTATTGTAAAGTGTTACCGAAAAAACTTTAAATGTTCAGCCCAGACAGCAACACAGTTTCGGCCCAGATCCGGCCCACATCTGGTGGATTCCACACGGGCCGGATGTGGCCCGAAACTATGTTGCTGTCTGGGAGAGAACATTCAGAAATAACGTTTTCATAACTTAATGGGAAAATTGCTTTTAGAACATATTTTTGTGAGCTTACATACAAAGTTTACATGATTATTTGCTCTGTTAGAGTAATAAAGTATAAACAGCTAAACATGATCTAACGTTTTTAAATGTTACTACTTGTTTGTTTCAGAACGTTCAGAAAACATTCAAAAGTAACGTTCCCACAATGTTTGAAGAATGAAACAATGATTAATGTTCACATAACCAAGAAAAAACGTTTTTAAAGCATTTAAACTTTAAATGTTCAGCCCAGACAGCAACATAGTGTCGGATGTGGGCCGAATCTGAGCCGAAACTATGTTGCTGTCTGGGAGAGAACATTCAGAAATAACCTTTTCATAACTTAATGGGAAAAATGCTTTTAGAACATTAGCTTACACGATTATTTGCTCTGTTAGAGCAGTAATGTATCTATTTGTTTTGTGACAGGAGCATAATGTTATGATGGCCTGTGAAATATGCAGTTGTGACTGAAATCCCCCAGAATGCCTCTGCTCGTCTGAGGTTTGAGCTGTAAACTGGGTCTGTGGAGGCTCATGTTTGAGGCTCGTTCCTCTCACCTGTTTCCGTTTCTGCACCACTGCAGATGCAGTCCTGCAAAACTTCTCATCTCATTTGCCTATTGCGTGTTTTTGCATTCTGATCGTAGGCAGGTTTGCTTCACCAAAAGACACATGTGATCTGAGTTTAAAACCGGATTCTTGCACAATACCCCTGAAAGACTGTTGACATTAAAAGACACTTCATATTCAGAGTTATTGTTGATTTGACTGCACTGATACTATCAGATGAGAACAGACCTGAACTGAAATGATCTGATAAAAGACTTTTTACAGCTGCTTATAGCAGGATTGAGTTTGGCTCATATTTGATGAAGTTTTCATCATTGATTCAGTTATTTTCATGTTTATTACTGTGTGTGAAGCTGATTTGAGACAATCTAAAGCGCTGTAGAAATAAAGCTTTAAGTAATGTGTGGAGAGCGAGGCTAGTTGTCACACTAAACTAAGTTGCTCATTAGGTTTGGTTTCAGTTTAATTTCATTTGGTTTATTTTATTCTATTAAAATAACTTAAAGTATAAAACACACATCATGACTTTCCACTAAATGTATACGTCCTAGAAATGCTCTTGTTCTGACAACTCAGTTTCAGTCCAAATCGTAATATACTGACTCTTGTCTGATGCCAACGTGCTTTCATTGTGTAAAATAATCTAAATTAAGTTTAATAAAACAAGCATTTGTGGACGTTTAACTCAAAGTCTGATACAGTCCCGCTTTCCTCTATAATTCAAATAGATGAGAGTGTGTAACTATAAAACACTTTTATCAAACATATAATCTTATAAGTTATAACTCTCATGTTTATTTCTTCATTTTAACGGTGAACGTTCAGAAAGAGACACTGAAGAGAAAGATCATTGTACTTACAGCTCATGAAAGGATGATCAGTCTGTCGTCTGAACCGTCACGATGTCTCAATCACCGGCAGCTGTGTGTGGACTGAAATGTTATTTCGCAACGAGGAAGAACAGAAGTCAAGCTTATCTCGCACTGAACACGACACGCTCATGCATGACTGCAAAAAGGGGAAATAGAAAGTGTAAATTATCCTCCCCTCCCCTTGCGCAAGCACACACTCTCTCTCTCTCTCACACACTCTGTCACACACTCACACACACTCACTAAAAGTGGCATTTCCTGTTGAATTTGGGGAAACCGCTTGGGGAAACCATTTGTTGTGTTGAGCTATTTCAATTACTTTTGTTTCATTTTTTCACTGCATACAGCAGAAAGTCTGTACATTTTGCCAATAAACCTGATTTGCAATGGGAGTTGAATAATTTCGATTACAACTGTATGAGCCAATGGGAAATAGAGAGGAGCTTGAGGTCGATGACTCCAGCCCAAAGCCCTCATCATCCCTGGTCCTGTCCAGCTCAAGGACTGGATCACCACCGGTTCTACTGAACCTAAAGATTTCACTACCGCTGGTCAGGATCAGTTTTAAGTTTTCAGTGTTGTGGAAAACACACGCCCAGTCTCCCTCTCCCAGCTCAGATCTGTCAGTTCTTTGGCCCCTTCAGTCCCCCGGCTTCGCTGTTGGATTTGTACTGTAAGTCGGCTCTGCCTTGGATCTGCCGGGCACCAGCTCTGCCTTGCTGTGTGAATCCCCTGGCTTCACTTCGGGCCACCATTCTGTAACTCCACCTTGGCTCCATCTGGGCCCCTCGTCCCCACGGCTCCTCTGGGCTCCTCGTCCCTCTGACTCCACCTAAGTCCCTCGTCCTCACAGCTCCACCGGGGCTCTTTGTCCCTCCAGCTCCACCTTGGCTCCACCTGGGACCCTCGTCCTCATGGCTTCATTGGGCTCTTTGTCCCTCCAGCTCCACCTTGGCTCCATCTGGGCCCCTCGTCCCCACGGCTCCTCTGGGCTCCTCGTCCCTCTGACTCCACCTAAGTCCCTCGTCCTCACAGCTCCACCGGGGCTCTTTGTCCCTCCAGCTCCACCTTGGCTCCACCTGGGACCCTCGTCCTCATGGCTTCATTGGGCTCTTTGTCCCTCCAGCTCCACCTTGGCTCCATCTGGGCCCCTCGTCCCCACGGCTCCTCTGGGCTCCTCGTCCCTCTGACTCCACCTAAGTCCCTCGTCCTCACAGCTCCACCGGGGCTCTTTGTCCCTCCAGCTCCACCTTGGCTCCACCTGGGACCCTCGTCCTCATGGCTTCACCGGGCTCTTTGTCTCTCCAGCTCCACCTTGGCTCCACCTGCAACACAGTCTCATCCCAAGAAGTCATATATATGTCTTTTGACTATACGTCAATATCCGCCTTTTTAGGGTACCCTTAAACGTCGGTTTATGACGATCCTGGGACGTCATACAACTGACGCTTTACCTTTAACGTCAGTTAGGTGACGGGGTAGGTTTAGGGGTAGGTTTAGGTCTGGGGCAGAGTTAGGATCCGATAACGTCATCTAACCTACGTTTAAGGGTACCCTAAAAGGCGGATATTGACGTATGGTCAAAAGACGTCCCAAGACGTCAGTTATATGACGTCTTGGGATGAGACTGCGCTGGATCCTCGTCCTCATGGCTTCACCGGGGTCTTTGTCCCTCCGGCTCCACCTTGGCTCCTCGCCCCCTCAGCTCCACCTGGGACCATCATCCTCACGGCTCCACCGAGCTCCTTGTCCTTCCGGCTCCGCCTTGGCTCCACCTGGGTCCCTAGTCCTCACGGCTCCACCGGGCTCTTTGTCCCTCCAGCTCCACCTTGGCTCCACCTGGGACCCTCGTCCTCATGGCTTCACCGGGCTCTTTGTCCCTCCGGCTCCACCTTGGCTCCTCGCCCCCTCAGCTCCACCTGGGACCATCCTCCTCACGGCTCCACCGAGCTCCTTGTCCTTCCAGCTCCGCCTTGGCTCCACCTGGGATCCTCGTCCTCACGGCTCTACCGGGCTCATCGTCCCTCTGGCTCCACCTTGGCTCCACCTGGGACCATCATCCTCACGGCTCCACCAGGGTCATTGTCCCTCCGATTCCACCTTGGCTCCACCTGGGACCATCGTCCTCACGGCTCCACCGGGCTTCTCGTCCCTCCGGCTCCACCTTGGCTCCACCTGGGACCATTGTCCTCACGGCTCCACCAGGCTCATCGTCCCTCAGGCTCCACCTTGGCTCCACCTGGGACCATCATCCTCACGGCTCCACTAGGCTCATTGTCCCTCCGGCTCCACCTTGGCTCCACCTGGGACCATCGTCCTCATGGCTCCACCAAGTTCCTCGTCCCTCGGCTCCGCCTTGGACCCACCTGGGACCATCGTCCTCACAGCTCCACCGGGCTTCTCATACCTCCGGCTCCACCTTGGCTCCACCTGGGACCATCGTCCTCATGGCTCCACTGGGCTTCTCATCCCTCCGGCTCCACCTTGGCTCCTCGACCCCTCGGCTCCTCCTGGGACCATCGTCCTCACGGCTCCACCGGACTCCTCGTCCCTCTGGCTCCACCTTGGCTCCTCGACCCCTCGGCTCCTCATGGGACCATCGTCCTCACGGCTCCACCGGACTCCTCGTCCCTCTGGCTCCACCTTGGCTCCTCGACCCCTCGGCTCCTCCTGGGACCATCGTCCTCACGGCTCCACCGGACTCATCGTCCCTCCGGCTCCACCTTGGCTCCTCGACCCCTCGGCTCCTCATGGGACACCATCGTCCTCACGGCTCCATCTAGGTCAGACATCGATCTGACTGCGCCACGGATTTCCGGGCCTTTCGCTGTGCCTCATCCCTCCACCGCTTTGGCTCCGTCGGGTTCCTTCGGGCTCCGTCTTGGCCCTCGGTCGCACCGGAGTCGCCTCAGTCATCCCTGGTTCCACCTCGGATGCTCGTCACAGCGGCTCCGCACATAAGCGTCTGGTACCTACAGTGTCATCCAGATCTCTCGGCTCCATCGCTGGCGGTCGGACCACTAACTCCACCCTGGCTTCACTCAACATTGATTCCGCCATGGGCCTTCGTACCACCTGTGCTCTTGGCTTCCACCTGCGTCAGCCTGCCATCTGCCGCCTCCTGCTTTCGTCTCATCCCTGGCTCCTACCACCGTTAGTTTCTTTCCGTTATTCTGTTGAATTAAAAGCTAAGCTATTATTTACTCTAAATCTTTCTCTTCGTCATCCTTTGGCGACCCAATATCCCCAGAAAGCAACATAGTGTCTGCCCAGATCCGGCCCACATTTGGGCCGTGTGCAATTCATGTGTAGCAAATGTGGACTGACACTATGTTTCTGTCTGGACCATGATACGGTATAAGCTAAAAAATTTATTTTTTATTTATATTATTGATTTACAAATTTCCATACATACATTTGCCAGTTTTGATTCACAAACTTCCTACTTTTTATTTCTTGCATGTTTTTTTGCAAAAACAGATTGAAGCAAAAAAAAGAAAGAAAAAGAAAATCATTGTCAAAACTTCTAATAAATAACATAAAAAAACAACGTTAGATAATTGTGACCCCTTTTCTAAGTGCGTCAGTAATAAATCAATAACTAAGCAAATCTTTGGAGTCACGTGACTAATCAGGTAATTTAAGCACAAGGTGGGAAGTTTGAAGTGTTGGAGACCAAAGCGGGAACTGACGGATATGGATTATGTTTTTATGTTTGATTTGAGAAGAAATAAGACAGATGTTTGTGTCCAGAGGAACAGTCTCATCCGCAGGTCAGACCAGGTGTGTGTTGTTTATCAGCGCTGGTTTGTTCTGAACTCGGTGTGATCCAATTGATTAAATTGTATATTTTGTGATTACTTGAGAATTTAAGCCGTTAGTCAGGCCTCTATTTGGTTGATTCCCATTATATATTAAGCTCTTTTTGTACTTGTTTTGTGTGAATCCTGATATCAGTGTGTTTGTGAGGGTCAGGTGTAGAGATGCAGTTGGTTATGTTTAAACTCTTATTGTTTAAACTGCATGTAAATGTGTTTATCTACCCAACATCAGATCCCATCATCTAAGTTAACTAGTACAAACATTCTGAAGTTCAGATGAGAGAGATTTAGTTGCCATGGACACAGTGGCGCGCACAGACATCCTCAGGGGCGGAGGGACCAAAAAGGGCACTAAAATTTAAATTTAATTTAATAGTACCTGCATTTTTATTCTCTCTTTTCAGCCAACTTGTGAGAGGAATCCTTCTTTTGGCTGCATCAGACAGTTCCTTGATTTTTTTTTTTTTTTATTCTTTCTTTCCTTGGCATTCTAAGAAAATATGTTGATACAATTATTAGAATGCATAACACATCAAATGAAAATAGGGAAATGATGATAATAATATTACTTAATATTATTTACTTTACCAAACAAAACAGTGAGAATCAAGGAAAATTACCTTTTAGTTTTGTTGATGTTGTAAATTCAATGTATGTATTATATGTATGAAAGACAGTGTTAGCTATCATGAATCAGTAACACTTTACAATAACGTTTAATTAGTTAAATTAGTTAGCATTAGCTAATATTGAACTGCACTTCTACAGCATTTATTAATCTTAGTTAATATTAATTTCAGCATTTACTAAAACATTAAAATCAAAAGTTGTATTTGTTATCATTAGTTAATGCACTGACTGTGACATAACATGAATAAACAATTAACAGTTGTATTATTAACTAATATATACAGTAACAAATGTGTTGCTTATGGTTGGTTCATAGTTCATACATGAGTAATGAACAAATGATTGTTGTAAAGCATTACTATGAAATCAGAGATATAAGTTCCTTACAATTTAGAGTTAGACATGGACTTAAGATTTCATTTAACTAGATGTATTTCCCCTTGCACTTTTATTCCTTGGATAACAATTACATTGTCACTCGGAATGAGGCTGAAATCGAGTTATACTTTTATTATAGTTAAGAATAACTCGCATGCTGCCGCAACTTTTAGAGTAGCATGGTGATGGTAGGATAAATGTAATTTTCCGTATTAGCTTTAACGTTACCTGCTGCTCGTTTGAAGACTCGCGCGAACTCGAACTGCGTTCGAGGCGCTGCAAAGGAAACTCCGCCTACCACTTCTCCGCACAAATTTTTTTTT